GCGGAGTATCTGGGGAGCTGGAAGATGAGAACTGGCGACTTTGTAGTGCAACTTTAGGACGCGGAGTTTCTGGGGAGCTGGAAGCTGAGAACTGGCGACTTTGTAGTACAACTTTAGTACGCGGATGAGTCAACTCTCGCGGCTGAGTCATCTCTCGCGGCTGCTCTGGCGCCCCTGCAGCTGAGTCATGTCTCCCAACCGCCCGGCTCTCTTGAGAGGTTGACAACTTTTAGCTTCTTTGCTTACTCATAAGTGGCTGCCACAAAAGAGTCATCGTGACGTTAGTATGTGTGTACTTCACCTTCATGACACACGATGTTCGCTTGGAATACACGAGTCGCTTGTCATGATCGTGACGTCGTTTACTCTCAGGTCGCCCTGTTCGTGGAAATTTCAGTGTGAAATATACGTTCTTCAGTTCTATTTGAACCTCTTCAGCGTTGTACTTGCACAACTAAGGTTGACGTTGCACTGCCGTTGCATCGACGCATCTACGTCTACACCCCCTCACCTCTCTACATTTACATCTTCACACGCTCACATCCGCAGATCTACCAGATCTACCTCTCCACCTCACTACACCCACACATCTGCACATCTATATCACATCTGTGCATCCACACTGTCGCTCCTTCACATCTGTCCTGTCTTTCTTTCTTTCTACATATCTTTCCTCTCGTCTCTGTGCATTTACATCTTCGCACGCTCACATCCACAGATCTACCTCTCCACCTCCACACAACTACAGATCTATATCGCACCTGCACATCACACTGTCACTCCTTCACTTCCACCCTCTCTTTCTCTCTTTCTATACATCTTTTCGACAGTGCCGGACAACTACATGTCTCGCTCTCGGGCCAACCGTCGTCTAGTTTTGGGTAAGGATACCCTGGCCAAACCCAGACACGAATTGAGGCGGTATGAACATGAACCAATAGAACAGACGATTGTGTACATTGTATAGTATAGGACCTTTCACGAGTGTTCCAACCAACAATCTTTGTACTCTCAGTTTCGATCCAATACGATTCAGAATGAAATACGATGCGGATCCATGCGGGATTCACAGCTATACTATATTCAACTATAGCCATCCCTTGAATTTTGTTAGAATATGCACAGATTCCATGCTTGAAGCAGAGGTCAGGGACTAGCAAGGCCGAGTTCCGATCTGCCATTGACATGCTGGCACAATCCAAGAGAACAGTAAACACAGTAAACTCTCTGGAAACATGGACAGATCAAGGTCCAGGGTACCTGCTTGATCTTGTTTTGCAACCCCTGTGGCGAGGCGGCGGCGCGGCGGCCCGAGACAGCCAGAGGGCCTTCGGACCTCAAGAGCGTAGGGAGCACCCAGAGGGAACCAGCCCTGGCGGAGTGCTGGCAGTTTGTGCGGGTGCTTGAGTGTTCGATGTCGCAAAGGGCAGCTGAGTGAAGGTTTGCACCTGATTTACGGGAATTAGATAGGTCATGATAGATCTACTTCAAAGAAGCATAAGTGACAATATGTGGCTTTGCTATGCGTTGATTGTCTTCTTCTTAATATTTGATAATCCGTATGATATTTCGGATTTTGTTACTTGAACAGAATGGAAGACCTAAACTCTGGGCTGTTTGGCCCTCATGGTTCCCCGAAATATCATCATCATCCTCCACATTGACCACTCTGGGCACTCTGATGTCAACATGAGTTATCCAGGGCAGGTCACCTTGGTGGAACATTCATTTACGTATATTCAAGCAATTGCAAGTCAAACGTGGGAATGAAATGCAATTCCGAACATGTGCACATGAAAGAAGGAGAAGAGAACCGTGGTCAGACCAGCATTTATCACCATGCAGACAATATGGTGAAAAGGTTTTGCAAAGAATCCGAACATGTGGTAAGCCGCAAATGTAGGTTTATCATCTTTTTTTTACTGACCAAGAAAAGCGTCCATCAAAGGCCCACCGATGGCACCGAGGCCGCTGCCAAGCTGTTGAGCCCTCGCTTCTCCTTCGACTGGGCCGACGACCTCGAGGCGGAGTTGCACGTGGCCCCCGCGGAGGCGGCACCGAGACGGCGCGGTCGACTTCGGCGGTTCGAGCGTGGAAAGAGCGCCCCAAAGATGGGTTTCCCATGGGTGTCTGAAATTCAACAGGCATACAGTATACAGTAACAGACAGTATAAGTATGTATAAGTAATATTCACGGTTTCCGGTGTCTAAAACAAAGGTAATCAAGGGAGTCCCAGACGAACCTGCAACGATTTGTTTCTAAACGTGTCCTTTGTGTTCAGTCTGATGAGGAATGGACACAGATCAAGTTTGTATGTACAAATCTTTGGGGGATAGGGGGTGATCAACGGAATTTGTTTTCGCCATATTATTGTCTCCTGTCCTTATTTCCGCAGGATCAAGACCTGAGGAAGCTGCTCAGAGAGGAGATCACGACCGGCCAAGCGAAAGGTGTTAAGGTGTCGAAGAATTTCAGCTTCTAGTAATAAAGAGCATCGCTACTAGGAGCAAGGACGCTACTAGTAGCTCCTGGCATTACTACTAGATCTACTAGGAAGAAGCTACTCGTAACAAAGGGCATCGCTACTCGCTCAGGTATGAACGTTCAGAGTTCTTTGCATGGGCCCAAGGGATCCCACAATTGCAACGCAGGGGTTGAGGCACTTTGGTATTTTTTTCACCAAGTTAGACCTTCTTCCCAAAAATCTGACGGTTTCTTCACCATCTTTCACCTCCTCCGTGGTCCCATCGCGCAGGAGTTGCAGCGGAGCATCTCAGAGAAGGAGGCTCGGAGGGGCGAGGATGGGGATTAGGCCGGGCCCACTGGGCTGGCGGTGCACCTGAGAGGATCGCTTGAAAACAAGACCCGAGAATTTGAGGGTCCCGCTTCCAATTTGTTAAACAGAAAGCTGCATCCATATCATCTCAAAAGCTTCCGTGGGTGCGAGGCTTTGCGTGCACAAGCGTGAGGAGGACCTGCCTCGCCCTGCCTTTTATTTGCCCTGCAGGAGTTTTGGGTGCCCTGGTGGGGTCGATCATGAGACCATCATCCTTTTTCAGTGGGTTTGGATGGTTTGGACCGAGAAATTACAAAAGCTCTAGGTCCTCGAGTAGACGAACCATCGATGCAAGATTCCAAAGTCGACGAGATCGCTGGCAGGGTGCCTATTGGTTGCTGGTTTTTGACGATGCCAGGGTTCCAGGTGAAGGAATGCGTTAGAAGATGTTAGAAGCCTTGAACAATCATAGAACATGTGAATGGACGCATTTTGCACATGAAGGCATGGGGTCGGAGGCTGGCACCTCTGATGCTACACATGTGTGTCTCTGGCCAGGAAGAGTGAAGTTGCATGCTGCTAATCCACAGGTTTGACGACCTGTAATTCAGGGCTTTGGGCATTTATTGGTCTGGGTGAGGGAGTGCTTTGTGCAATTTCCTATTGTTGTTTCAAAGTACATAAAGCGTGCGACACCTTGACGGAGTTCTTCCTCCAACACGGGGCTAATGTCCATGTTAGCCAGGCGTCCAGGTGCGCCTGGGAATGGTTCCAGCCCCACCATGCAAATCAAATCGTCTTTGCTGCGGTCCGGATTTCAGAGCGGCAAAAAGAGCAACAACTGGCCAGCACTTGTATGATCGTAGAGAGGGCCGAGGCTAGGCTATGGTGGAAGTGGATGAATGTGTGTACTCGCAATGAACTGGCAATATCTGGCAATCAGTTTGGTTAAGGAAGCTTGAAGGCAGGAGTCAGACTGAGTAAGAACGTGTCTACAGGCCCTTCAGACAGTGTTTGTGAAATGATCGATCTCTCTCTCTCTCTCTCTCGCGTGCACACTCTTACGCACACGTGACACGCACACACACAAATATAAGCACCAAACAATGTCAAGGTGTGCATTTTGTGTCTGACAGATCAGTACTTCAGGAGTCAGGTGCGTCATCCCAGGCAATATTTAAGATGGACGAATGACAGCTGCTTTGATCGTCGATGATATCAGGTGACCTGAGGATCCAATCCGCGCTCGCCCCTGTGGCCATTTTTCTCAGCGGCGACCCATCAACGCGAGCTTGTGGGGCCGCGGGCGAGGTGACGGTTCAGGGGTAGCACTGGAAGAGTATAAAGGTCCCAATTAAGGATACTCATGTTTCCACTTGTCTGATTTGGTGGTCATGTATCTCGTTGTGTATCACATTTTGTAGACTTGGATCGAAGGGGGAGCAGCTAGTGAAGTGATACATTCAAAGCTGATCGTTTGAGCATTGGGATTTCGTTACTTTTGTTGCTGTCCTTTGAGTTCTTCTATGCTGTACAATCTCAATCTACTGCAGATTGGTCTATTGATCTCTGACCATTTTCCTGCTTTTCCCACACTCGAAGGCGGCCATGTCCAAAATCTCCGCAGCTGCTTTGTTGCAGCTGGCGGATCAGTTCGACCGCCAAAAGAAGTCACTGAACTCAGATGCCGGGATTTGAGGAGGCCCCTCAAGTTGATAGGAAGAGAATGATACGTAGCCCAAGTTCTTGATTCAATGTATATACGTTGTTCTGCAAAGGTTAATTAGGGGAAAGCAAAAACTATGGACTTATAGTCATGACAGCCAACATGTAGCACCACACAGCTATATAGCAGCTTTCCGGATGTCATTAGTGTTCCCACCTCACCTGAGACTGAGCGACTGGCCAAGTCCAAATTGCCACAGTATAAAATTATTCTTTGTAAGAATCTGAAAAGGCCTCAGAAGACCCGCAACCGATCAAGAAAGATGTGTGGCTCAAGATGTAACCCAAGACAGGGATCCAAGGTTTTACCCATAGAAAAAATCGCGTTTGGCCTTTTTCTGTCTCCTGTACAACCTTGCGAACCTTGGGGTTCATGGAGGGCTTTAAAAGGAAAGCTCCGGTTGAGGTTCCGGCGTCGCCGGATCGACAAAGCACTGGGGAGGCACGGGAACCAAGCTACTCGGGGTGGGCCACCGGTGGGTCAGGCGTTACTCGGTTTCAATGGTTCTCCATGTTCGTCCTGTCGTTTTTCGGTTGAACTGGGGGACCCCAGTGATCGATTTGTCACCCGGTCACCTACTATGCTGTTTCTTTATTTTTGTTCTCTTTTTTGCGGGGTTCCCTAGGTCAAGATGAACTCCATTGAATTCCGATTGAAGAAGTTGATGGAATCTTCACAGCAAGGCATTCAGTCGACCGCTCTCGTGACCCGGAAGTTGTCACCTCGAGTTCCATGCTGCGGGGAGACAGTGATTTTGCCACTTTGCTGTGCGTCATCCTTCAGAGGCTTCTGGATAGGCTTCTGCAGCTAGTGACTGTGCCAAAGCATAAGGCCATTTTGTGAGAAGAAAATGGAAGAATGGAATTTTCTGGGTGACAACCCTGAGTAGGGCCTGGGTGGGGACAGTGGCTTGATGCCATTTTGGCTCAAGTCCCTATCCCTGCAAGGTCAAATGGCTTTGTAGGATGGGGGTATTCCTCGCGGGCTGGCTTTTCTTTTGCCGCCATGTTTCCGACGGCAGCCACGGCCCTGGGGATGCAATCGGTCGACGACCTGCTCCAGCACTTTGGAGTGACTTCGGAGCTTTGGGAAGCTTTCACTCAGGAGACCGGCTCCCCTGGCAACGACTTGCGTTTGCTCGCTGCCCTTCCGGGCAGTGTGGTTGCTGCTGCCTTGTCGCAGGCCATGCTCCCCTCGGATGTCCCCTTAACTGCCGTGCAGGCCGCCCATGTGGGGTTAGTGTGGAAATTGGCGAGGAAGATCATGTACACGAAGGGCGGAGGTGCTTGGGACAACTGGGTGGAGGAAGATCCATGGAGTACCTCAGGGTTGAACGATTCATCCTCTTCGAGCCCAATGAGACCCACTTCAATCGACCCGGATGCGAAGGCCACGAAGGACAGGACTTTGAAATTCGCTCAAGTGTTGGACCAAGGAGACGACGGCGAGTTCGAGGTCTTGGGAGAAGAAGCGAAGATGACGTTGCTCCAGAAGTACATCGCGACGACGGGATCCCTGCCCGAGGAGGAGGAAGAGCCTACGATAGAACAGCTCTCGGCCCTGAAGAAGAAGCTGTCGATGGGAAAACCTCCTTTCGCGGACTTTGGAGTGTTCGTGCCATTCGGAAGGAAAGCATTGAGGGCTTCGAGGTACAGAACCTGGGTACCGACGGCCGAGGGCTACGTGTCGAAGGAACTGCCGGGTCCAGCCAACTTCACACAATGGAGGGCATGCTTCAGGGTGTTCACGACGGCGATGATCATGTTGCAGGAATGCGCCTTGGCCCCCCTTCATGCTTACGAGCTGTACGTGGAGAAGCTGACTCGGCTATATCCGGACGCCTGGCATTTGGTGTACGCGGCGGACGAGATGGCGAGAGGGGAACTGCTGTCGAGGCTGAAGTTGAAGGTGGCGATGGATCAGCAAGAAGGAAAACCGGTCCCCTTGAACTTCGACGAGAAGAAACCATGGGAAGCCCTGATTCGCATGGTGCCGAACGAAATGAAATTTTGGCAGGACCAGATACACAGTCCAGCCCTCACATGGCTTGCGAGCGGATCGAAAGGAAGAGCGATGACCCCCCAGGAATCGATCGCCGAGAACGCACTACGTGGAGGTACGAGCTCGTTGATGCCAGCGATGGAGTCTGGGACGTTCGGCTCAACTTCACCGGCGACTACATCCACGGCGAGAAGGCAAGGAAACAGAGACAGACGGGAGGCGAAGAAGAGGAAATGGCAGGCGGAAAGAGAAGAGCTCCAAAGACTTCGAGAAGCCCGAAGCGAATCAAGTTGGGAGAGAAAAGGAGGAGGAAAAGGAGGAAGCAAGAAAGGAAAAGGAGGGAAGCAAGGGGAACCCATTTGCTTCTCGTGGAACAACGGGAACAGTCCGTGTGGATCATTGCCACCAGGAGCGGAGTGCACGAACGCAGTGAAACGGGCTCACAAGTGTTCATCCTGTGGGTCGCCGGGTCACCCAGCAATCAGGTGTCAAGCCAAGAAGTGAAGGAGACCGGAGACAGTCGTGCAGCAGGTGACGAAGGTGAGGCGAAGAAGAAAGAGGAGGATGAGGGTGAGAAGAAAGGAGAAAAGAAAGGAGAAAAGAAGGAGGAGGAGGAGAAATCCTCTCAGGAGAGGTTGGAAGAAAAGATACAGAAGTATGTGAAGGCCAGGCGATTCCGCTTCCTACATCACTTTGCAGGACCCCGTGATCCACTTGGAGCAGCTATCCATCAGGTAGCTGCCAAAAGAGGCTTGAACGTGGAGGTGATAGCGGCGGAGAGGGACTGGGGCCAGGACCTATGTTTGGATGAGCCCTACAACACGCATCTCAGGTGGGCGAAGGAGGGCCTCATCGATGGGTACCACTCAGGATTCCCTTGCTCGACGTTTTCGCGCCTGAGATTCCGAAATGCCCCTAACCTTCCAAAACCAGTTCGAACTCGAAGCGAACCACACGGGAAGAAGTCCAACTCCCAAGCTCAGCAAGCGGAATGCGACAGAGGGACAGTCATGCTTGCGCGCTCGGTTCAGCTGGCCGAGGAACTGGCAAAGAATCCCACATCGACGATAGTGGCCAGACCAACATCAATGGAGAACCCTCCTCCATCGGACGTCGAGGACCACCTGTCGGCTTGGGGGATGTCAGAAATGGTGGGGTACCTACGCATGGCTGGTGTCAAGATCGCCCAATTCAACACGTGTGCCTTCCAAGCAAATCGGGCACGTGGTGATCGTCACTTCAAGCCACAACAATTCGCAGGTACTCTCTACGGCATCGAATCCTTGAGCAGGGACTGCAAATGCGGAGGAGCCAAACATCGACCGATCATCGGGAAGAAGGAATCCCAAGAGTCGGGGGAGTACCCGGTCGAACTTTGCCGGGCCTATGCCTATTTGCTGATGGACCACTTCGAGAAGATGGCGACGGCAGAATACCTGGAAGGGAGGTTGAGGGAAGAAGAACATCAGCATTTCGAGATAGCAACGGGCGATGCGGAGGCGACATCAATGAGGACACGAAGGAACAAAGAAGGAGTGAAATTGTCGCCTACACCCGAAGCTCAGAGAGGAGTTGATGAAGAGTGGACGAAGGAAGAAAAACGAAGATGGGAAGAGAGCAGGGACAAGGCGAAGGAGAAGGAGGCAGAGGAAGAGGACAAGGAGAAGAAGAGGAGAAGGAAGAGCAAGGAGGAGGAAAGGAAGTTGGAGGAGAAGAGGGCACAGAAAAGGTGGAGGTCGGCCTCAAGGAGAAGCAGGAGCCGCGGCGGAGCGAGAAGAGGAGACAGGAAGGGAGGAGAGAAGGTGGACCTACGCTGGAAGCCGGGCGAAGGGAAGTATGGCATGCTCAAAGAAGAGAAGCAGAAAGAAAAGAGGTTGGACCAGCAGGGCTTCGTAGGCGGCGTGAAGAATCCGATGGAAGTGGTGGAAGGGATTCCGACGCTGCAGAACTTGGGGCGCCGCATTTGGGGAGCTTGGGAGAGGCACTGCATGAACAACCCGAAGGTGTTGAAGGTGGGCGAAGAATATGGGTCGGAGGATTGCGAGTTAGAAGCACATTTGGTGGAAAGATGGAAAGAGGAGCTGCGGAAGCTGACAGGAGCTAAGGGGGCACCAGCAATCAAGTTGACAGGTAAATGGGCCTATCAATCTCCGATGGATGGGAACTTGATAGAAGCATGGTGCCGAAGAGGAGGGGACCCGGAGACGGAGGTGCACCGGTGGATCAAAGAAGGGGCGCCCCTGGGCATAAACGTCCCCATCAAGACTTGCAACATCTTCCCACCGACTTTGAAGGAGGAAATTCAACGCCCAGAAGATTGGCAAGCTGCACAAGGCTTGAGGGAGGACATTGGCAACTACGTGTCAGTGAGGGAGCAAGAGGAAGATGCCAAGATAGAAATCGACAGGCTGATGGACAGAGGTTATGCCGTCAAGGCCAGAAAGGGAGAAGTCGAAAGGGCGGGCTTCAAAGGTACGACAATCTCCAAGCTGGGGCTCATCGTCAAGACGAAGGAGGGAGGAGCGAAGAAGCGAAGGATCATAATAGACTTGAGGAGGTCAGGAGGCAACAGGAAGGCAGTGCTCCCCGAGCGCTTGATCTTGCCCAGACCCACGGACGCCATAGCGATGGTTCGGAGGATGCATGCGTCGAAAGCCGAATTGGTGAGGCCGCAGGACAAGACCCTGGAGCTGGTGATGATAGACGTATCAGATGCCTACATGCACTTGGCAGTGGCGGAGGAGGAGAAGGGCCACTGTCTAGCGCCAGCTTTGGACGACGAGCATTGGTTGCTGTTCATAGCTCTCCTCTTTGGCTTCAAAACTGCACCACTGACCTGGAGCCGGGTGGCAGCTTGCATAGCCCGACTGCTGCAATCAGTGATACCGGCGGAACGGGGAATGCATCAAGTATACCTGGACGATTCCCTGTGGGTGCTGGGGGGCAAGCTGCATGAGAGGAACCATACCCTGTCGTGCATCATCCACACGATGGCAGCGCTCGGGCTGCGTTTGTCGCTGGGCAAGGGCGAACGATCGGCGGCTGTGACCTGGATAGGAATCCACTTCAAGCTAGTGGCACCCGACTACGATCACCTGCTGGTCACGCTCCCGGAAAAGTTCATGGATGAACTCCAAAAACAGCTGGAAGCGTGGGACAAGAAAGGAATGATTGGGACGGCAGAGCTAAGAAAGGCAGCTGGCAGGGTGGCTTGGCTGGCGGGCGTGCTGCCTCGAGCCAGGTGGGTCACCACGTCGCTGTATGCGACCTTGTACAGCCACGAGGACGATGTTCAGTCAGGGGTGGAGGCAGCTCGAAGGTCTCAAAGGAAAGATAGCCGTTCCAAGGACCATCTCATCCCGGTGAAGCGTGTGGAGAAGGCACGAACCTGGCTCCTGTCCTACTTGAAGGCGGCGAAGGAAAGACCGATCCGCAAGTACGCACTGTACAAGAGCGGAAAAGCGGAGGCCAGCGTGATGACGGACGCTTCACCCCTGGGCATTGGAGCTGTTCTTCTGGTGAACGGAAGAGTCACGAAGGCATTGGCATCGCCCATCAACGAGATGGATGCTAAGTTGCTGGGCTTCCAATTGGGCGAATCAAGCTCGCAGGGCATTGCAGAGACGCTGGCGATCTTGGTGGCCCTCAAACACTGGGGTAAGCTCCTGGCCGCAGTGAACGTGGCAATCGGGGTACAGTCGGACTCCGTGACAGCGCTGGCACTCACTCAGAAATTCTCAAACAGTAACGCCTCTCTGAATTTCTTGGGGGCGGAGTTGGCGGTGGTGTGCGAAGCGCTGGGCTTGTCGGACCTCCTTCCGACGCATCTCCCTGGGGTCGCCAACAAGGAAGCCGACTTCTTGAGCAGACCAAATACTTGGGCAACCACCACCTTGCCGGTCGCCTTAGAGGGCATTTCAATCGAGACGCCCCAGGAAAGATCAGCAGCGTGGTACCGCCTGAACCCGCCAGGCCCCGACACTGCCGACTGGCAGGACGGCGAAGCCTTAGTGGCGGCTTGGGCCTGTCGTTAACTCGATGGCCAGATTCTGAAGGAATCGTTTGAAAAAGGGACACAGGAGGAGGCGGAAGAGGTTGAAAGGTAAGGCTGAAAGTTCGGTTTGGTGTGCGACGTCGTCGATCGAGCCGATTCGTGAGTTGTGTGTGTTAATGCACGAGGTGAGGGCCCAAGGATGGAGTTAGCTCCAGCGGACGCGATCGTCCTCCGCCCACAGGAACTCGGTGGGCAGCCGGCACCATGGCTGGCCTATTGGGCTTTCTACCTCATCGTGATCGGCATCTTCACGCACGTCGGGGCAGCCTGGCTTGGCTGCAAGAAGTTCATAGCATGGTGGAAGACACTCCACACTCCGCGGGGTTACCCATGGACGTGGTGGAAGGCGGAGACGTCAACCGAGAATTACATCAACAACACCCTGGACTCCGAAGACGAGGAGTGGGAAGAAGCCTGGGACATGGACCAACCACGGGACTATCTCGACACGTACCTGGACTGGGGGCCGGCATCAGGGATACGTCGAAGGTCGACCAGGCCAGAAGAACCCCAACCCGAGCCATGGAGGAACCTGCTGAACAGCACGGCCAGCAGGGAAAGGGGAACAGAAGAGCCTTCAACACCGAACTTGCTGGACACACCTTCCACGAGAACCACGGCACTGGAAGGGACTTCAACCAACAGGTCGATTTCTCCGAGGGCGAACTACTCACCATGGAGGGAGTCCGTGAGGGAGTCGAGGGACATGCAGTGGTTGGTGACCAGGAGGCTCAACACAAAGGACAGCTGGCAGCTGTGAGATTTGGTGCGGACAAAAGGGAGGTGTGCCCGGGCGAAGATCGTGACGCAGAAGGCTTTGGACTGAACGAAGAATGGGGAGAAGAGAAGTTCGATTTCAGCTTTCCACCGGTACCTCCAATGGAAGTGCTGTCAAGGGGGAGTGAATCAAGCGGGGGATTGCTCCATTTGGTGAAGAGAAGGAGGACTTCGAAAGAGAAACCGGAAAGGGAGGAGAGGCTGAAGGCGAGTGGCTCTCAGGGGAGACGGGGGCTACGTCGCGAACGTGGTGGACGCGGCGAAGGTAAAGGCTCAGGGATGAAGGAGAAGAGGCGGAGGAAGGACATGCCTAAAGAGCCGGAGCGAACAAAAAGGGTGAAGAAGAATGAGAAGTGGAAGAAAGCAATACAGACGGCTCGCATCTTCAGGTTGAACCGACCGCAACGAGACAAGAGCCTGCAGGACTTCAAGGAGGGGTACTATGCGAACTCCTCTAGAAGGGCAAAGGCTTCAGTGCGCAAAACGGTCAACAAGATTCTGCTTAACCTGGGCACGAAGGGGACAGCAGAACAATGGTCGGAGGAGACACTGGAAAGAGTGGGCGCTGTGCTCAAGAAAGCGGACTATAAAGCAGGGGTCACCTACTTATCGGAGTACAAGCAGATGTTGATCGAGGCGGGCAAGACGTGGTCGCACAGACTACAAAGGACATTCGGACAAGTGGCTCGTGCATTGAAGAGGGCAAGGGGGGCCGGTGAAGAAGGCGGCTGAAGTGGAGGAAGGGGAGTGGATGGAAGCCTGCAAGATCGAGACGAACGAAGAGCTGAAGGGCCCAGTACACCGACCAGCCCTCATGTTTGGGTTTGCGACCGTCTGGGTGCTGCGGGAGGTGGAACTGGCGGCAGTCCACAAGGAGGACATCGTGATCAACGAGAAGGAGAAGACGGTGGCGTTGACCCTGAGGCTCACGAAGTGTGACCAGGAAGCCAAAGGACTGAAAAGGACTCTGCAGTGCTGTTGCCCGGAGGAATGCAACTGGTCAGAACCCTGTCCTTTGGCGATTTCGAAAGCAGCTTTGGACAACGTCCCGATCGAGGAAGATCATCTAGTACATGGCGACAGCGAAGGTATAATAGAAAAGAACCAGATCATAGGAGCTTGGAGGAACTTATTTGGGCAGAACATCTCAGGGCATTCCGCCAGGAGGTCAGGGGCCTTGCAATATATCAGACGGGGTTGGCACGTGCCCCAGGTGGCTTTTCTGGGAAGATGGAAGAGCGACGTGATCCTACAGTATGCGGAAGAGGCCCTGGAAACCATGCCGGTGATGAACAAGGCGATCAACCTAGCAGGTATGAACCCAGGAAGAGGAGGAAATGAACGGGTCGTGGAGAAGTTGGTGGTAACGAAGGGCGAAGAACAAGGCAAAGAAACGGAGAAGAGGTTGAAGAAGGAGCTGGACAGGCTGAAGGACAAACAAGATCAGCTCGATGCATCGATTTTGAAGTGGGAGGAGATCTCCAACAATCATCAAGGCCTACTACCACCAGTCATCCTCTCGAAGAGTGGAACGGTACATGAGAACAAGAAGCAGCCGGTGGCCTCACCCGTCACATCCTGGCATACGAAGTGCGGTTGGTTCTACGGGGCTTCGGTGTTCACTTTCGGGATGGACGTGACGAAGGTGAATTGTCTGAAATGCACCTCTTCTGCGCAGAGCACGGAAGAAAGATTTGGCAGAGGAGGTGCATAGCTGATAAATGAAGACATC